CCGAACCGAACGGAACCGAACAGACTCGAACCGAACCCGAACGATTATATATTTATATTTGGACCCGACGGGTCCATTTATTAAATACGCGAAAGTTTTAGGTCGGTTCGATTCTATTCAAAATCGAACTGAACTGACCCACGGACAGCCATAGCATTCTCCATTGGGGTAATTAGCACAAAACGTCCATATCTTTAATCGTTACTGTGCAAAACGTCCATACATTTTCACTAATCTTCCATGTCAGCATAATCGTATTAATTATCTTTTGGCAACTGCAACTGATTCTGTTTGATAAGACCCCTTCCCCTCCCTTCCCTCAAGAAGTGTAATTATCACAATTAAAAATTTCAGAGACTATTATAGCACCTGAATTGTCACTAGGATGCTGAACATAGTGACTAGTTGGATCATCAGCAGGGCTGAAAAGGGAGATTGCCATGATTCGAATCAATTCAAGAATGTAGTGAAGAAGATGATGGATCTACGAAAGAACCTTAGGTCTGATACCAAGTGAAATTCCTAAATTAAGGATCACAGCTTCATCATCAAAAAGTTGGAATTAAATGTCATAAAAGAAAAAAGGAGAAGAACAGAGAAGAAAAACAAATAAGATAGAAAAGAAGGAACTCTGATTTTATTGAATGAATTTGCATATTGCATCTTCAAGTATTTATAGGCTACACAACAACCGCATCAACTACCTAACAGTTTCTACCTACACCTAACTGTATCTAAGCTGGTCCTAACTGTATTTAACTAATCTTCCATGTCCGCATAACTGTTTGAACTATCTTTTGGCAACTGCAACTGATTTTGTGTCATAAGACTGATATCCTTTTTTTAAAGTCTTATCGAACCATGCACGTCATTGAGACCCATAATAATTGATGAAGCTCTCAAGGTTATGCACTAGACTTCGCAGGTGTATGAGCTTTCAGCTGTTTTTCTTCAGTCATTTTCTACTATTTCATGTTTTAGTTTCACATGGTCCATTTCCTTTCAAAATATTGAAGACCCCTTTTCCCCACAACTTGCTAAATGTATTTATTTTATACACAACTCTGACAGATTACATGAAATTTTTTTTTTATTTGCTTTTCCTATATTAATCATCGAACGACGAATAACCTTAGCTTCTGGCACTAATTATGGAGTGCAAACAACTATCAAAACACAATATCAACAAAATGATAAACCTAGAAAA